TTTCTTGGGTAAGAATAGTAAGAATGAAACTACGGAGTCAAAGCGTAGATGTGTATTTGTTTAACTTTACAAGAACTTGTCAAACAAGTTTCCGAAGTGGTTATACTATTTTGCATTCCTACAGGCAGTTGTTCCACATCCTCACCAAGAGGTGGTGTCATTCTGAGGTTGGCCATCCTAGTGGCGTGAAATGGTTTTTCACCGTGGTTTCAGTTGTTATTTCCCTGATCACTAAAACACTGGAGACCTTTTACATATGCTTAGCGGACACTTGTATAGCTCTTTTGTTAAGTGTTCCTGTGTGTTATTTATTGAGTATTAAAATGGTTTCATCCTTAAAAGGAAGTGTATGGGAAGCTCCTCTGCGGGCTGGGGTCTGGCTTCTGTATCAAGGTTATTTCGTTGTTGTCATTGCCACAGAATGCAGAAATTCCCATGACTGTCTGGCTTTCTTACCTCCGGTAACCAGGTGCTCTTTCCTCCTGTTTCTCTAGCTCCTGAGCTCTCTGCCTTGGGACCTCTCTTACCCTGCCTTGAGATGCCGCAGTCCTGAATTCTGCTGGCCATCCGGCCACATGCCCTTGGTTGCCCTGGTTCAGAGTGTGGGCCTGTTGTTTGGTTACCATCTCATGGGCCCAGCTCTGGCTGGTCCAGCCCTGCCCCACCTCTTAGTTCCCCCTGCCTCCGAGCTGGGCATTTGGAAGTGTCTGCTCTGGGAAGTCTGGGGGTTCGATGGTATTGATTCTACACCCATTAGTAGCAGATGTTAAGAGACAGGGTGATCTAGTTGTCTGGCTTTGGGGCTTGTTTTTCCCCTGAGTTAAGTACTTTCCGGGTACTTTTCTCCCAAATGGAAAAAAGAAAAAGAAAACTATTTGTCACTATTCTAAGTGGGAAAGAAAAACGCTGGCAATGAGAGCGGATGGAACTTCCATCTTCTCCTCTTCTCACAAAAGCCTCTTGTCTCCATAGCCTATGGCCACTGTTCCCAGCATCCTCCTTATGCATTATTTCTCTTTTTTAAAAATTAATTTATTTGTTTGTTTTTATTTTTTTCAGCTGTGTTGGGTCTTCATTGCTGCATGCGGGCTTTCTCTAGTTGCGATGAGTGGGGGCTACTCTTCATTGTGGTGCATGGGCTTCTCATTGTCGTGGCTTCTCTTGTTGCGGAGCACAGGCTCTAGGCATGCGGGCTTCACTAGTTGTGGCTCACGGGCTCTAGAGCGCAGGCTCAGTAGTTGTGGCACACAGGCTTAGTTGCTCCACGGCATGTGGGATCTTCGCGGGCAGGGCTCGAACCTGTGTCCCCTGCACTAGCAGGTGGATTCTTAACCACTGGGCCACCAGGGAAGCCCTGCATTATTTCTTAATTAAGATCAATATTTTAGTTGTGGAGAAGTCTTAATCATGGGAATAGAACTTGCATCTCTCTGGCTGTGTCTTACCAAGACAAGTCAAAAGCACCATCTCTCACTGGGTGGTTCACAAGCAAATAAATAAAAATAAGTTAATAACCAGGACTTTTCCCTCCATGGACCCAGCTGCCTGGCATGTCCAGGCTGGAAAGACAGTGGACACAGCTGGTAGAGTATCAAGGACCACCGCTGCGGGGGCTTGTTGCAAATTTTCTGTTTCCAGGCTGCACGAGAGTGTTGGGTGGTGGTGTGACCTGCACTTAGACTCAGCTATGTCATGAACTGACCATGACTGGGCCTGGTTCTTACTCTCCCCCACCATGTTTTCACTTCTGTGAATGGGAACAACAATGCCTGCCTTGCCCATTAATGCAGTCAACAAGTAAATATCCAGCCTTGTGCCGCATGCTAGGGAAAGCACTTGAACAGCATAGAGGCTGTCTCTGGCTTCATGGAGCTAGCATCGTGGTTGAGGAGTTGGATATTAGAATCAGGAAATAAATAATGTGTGATGAGCTTTACAATGGGGAAGTACTGAGGATTATGGAAGCCTGGAGGAAGGGCACTTAAAGCAGGTGCAGAGGGTCACAGGAGGTAGCATCTAAGTGGTCCCCAAAGGAGACTGGGAATTAATTGGACAAGGAGATATGAGAAGAGCATTCTGTACTGGGAAGAGCATGTATGGAGGAAGGACCTCAGTAAGAGAAAATGCAGAGTGTGTTAAGGAAAGTAAAAGACTTTCAGATGACTGGGCCTGGAAGGCATAGTGGGTAGAGAAAAAAAGAGAGCTGGAGAGAGCTGGGGCTTTAAGACAGCACAGAGCAGAGACAACTCCTGTTCCTACTATGTCTTGTTCAAATTCCTGACCCAAAGAATCCACGAGCATAATAATAAATGGTTGTTGTATGCCACGGAGTTTTGGCGTAATTTGTTATGAAGCAATGGTAACAAAGTACACATTATTTTAATGAAGTTCAGTGACATCAGAGCAATGGAAAAGTAATGCTTACAAAGCTTTGAATATCCCTCCTCTTGTGTGTTCCAAGCATCCATATTGTTGTCCCAAACGGGTGTTACTCTTAAGCTTGGTGCAGACAAGAATTTTAATCTTAAGGCATGTTTCTTTCAGAGATATCAGGGAATCTGATTTAGGCCATAGCAACTCATTAAAGTCTCCTGCTCTCTACTCGCTAACACCTAAAACTCCTAATACTTTTTCACTCTTCTGCTCCAACATAACTCTCATCCATGCTGTCTTTTCCCATCATCAATACATTTCCAGGCAACGTGTTCCTTTTATGTTGTACAATCCTGCTACGCAAAGCAGCCTTAGGAGTTCTTGTTACAACATAATTGCCTTTCTTTTGATAATCAACCCGTGTATTTTTTCTTTTAATATTTAAAGCTGGAGAAGGGGAAAATGTGACCTAAGAAGAAACAAAATCTGAATAGTCCTATATCTGTAAGACAACTGAATTTATAATTAAGAAAAAAAAAGTTCATTACAAGAACACTCCAGGCTCACTGGTGAATTCTATCAAAAATTTAAGGAAGAAACAATATGAACATCATATAACCTCTTTCAAAAAATAGAGGAGGAGGGATTTCATTTTATGAGGCTAGCTTATCTCTAATATCAAAACCTGACAAACACATTACAAAAGAAATACAGACCAATATCCCTTATGAACCTAGACACAAAAATCCTTAACAAAATATTAGTAAATCGGGCTTCCCTGGTGGCGCAGTGGTTGAGAGTCCGCCTGCCGATGCAGGGGATACAGGTTCGTGCCCCGGACTGGGAGGATCCCACATGCCGCGGAGCGGCTGGGCCCGTGAGCCATGGCCGCTGAGCCTGCGCATCCGGAGCCTGTGCTCCGCAACGGGAGAGGCCACAACAGTGAGAGGCCCACGTACAGCAAAAAAATAAATAAATAAAATAAAATTAGTAAATCAAATTTAACAATGTTTAAGAGGATAACGTTTCATGACGAAGTGAGGTTTATTCCAAGAATGCAAGACTTATTTTACCTTCAAAAAGTAATCAATGTATATATTAGTTATCTATTGCTACATAAAGAAATCACTCCCAAAATGCAGCATACTAAAGCAATGAACATTTATTATCTCACTGTTTCTGTGGGTGAGGAATCCTGGTGCTATTTAACTGGGTTTTCAGGTACAGGGTCTCTCATGAGGCTATAGTCAAGGCGTCAGCCTGGATAGTCATCTCATCTGAAGACCTGACTGAGGGAGGATCTGCTTCATGATGACTCATGTGGTTCTTGGCAAGATTCAGTTCCTTATGGGCTGTTGGGACTGAAGTTCTCAGTTCTTCTCTGGCTAATGGCCAGAGGCTTCCCTCTGTTCCATGCCATGTGGACCTCTCTCTCCAGAGGGTGGCTCACAACATGGCAGCTGGCTTTCCTCGGAGCAAGTGAGTGAGGGAAGTCACCCATGATGGAAGCCACAGTCTTTTTATAACCTAATCTCAAAAGTGACAAGCCACTACTTCTGTTGTATTACATTCATTGTAACTGAGTCGCTAAGTCCAGGTCATTCTCAAGTAGAGGAAATTACAAAAAGGCATGAATACCAGGAGAAGGGGATTACTGGGGACCATGTTAGGGGCTGCAAACCACATTGTAGTTCAACCCATTAAAAAATCAGAATAAAGGACAGTAAATGTGATCATTTAATTTACGAAGAAAAAGTGTTTAACAAAATTCAACATCCATTCATAATAAAAATTTTCAGCAAATTATTAATAGAAGACAACTTTCTCAACCTGATAAAAGACATCTATATAAAACCTAAAGATAACATCATACTTAAATATGAAAGAGTGAGTGCTTTCCCCCTAAGAATAGGAATAAGGCAAGGATGTTCACTCTTAACACTTCTATTCACCATAGTCCTAAAGGTCATAGCAAGTTCAATAAAGCAAGAAAAATAAATAAAAAGTAGAAATATGGGACAGGAAGAAATGAAACCATCTCTATTTGTAGACAATATGATTGTGTATATAGAAAATCCTAAGGAATATTTTTAAAAATTACTAAAACTAATAGATGAGTTTAGCAAAGTCACAGAATACAATGTTAATATATAGAAAAATCAGTGTTATTTTTATACTGTCACAAACAATTAGAATATAAAAATTTTTAAGGTACCATTTATAATAGCACCAAAAAACATACAATATTTAGGATAAATTTAATGAAAGATGATGTGCAATACCTCTGCAATAAAACTACCAAAAATGCAGAGCAGATTAAAGATTAATGGACTAAAGGAGAAAAGTAACCACATGACCATTTTAATAGAGGCAGAAAAAGTCATTTAACAAATTTCAACTCATATTTATGATCAAAAATCTATTTTAGAAAACTAAAAAAAGGAACCCCTTAAATACAGCTGCCAAAAACATATATATTCAGTTATCTATGGCTGGATGACAAGCTATCCCAAAACATAGTGGCTTAAAACCACAACAATTTCATGACTCTGTTGGTGCTGAATCTGGGCAGTGTTCAAAGCTGGGCCGTTTTTCTGGTCCATTTGGCATTGACTGAGGTCACTCACCTGCATTCCAACAGTAGGTGGGCTGGGTGGGAAGGCTTCATTCACCTCTGGCGCCTCAGGTTCCTCCTCCTGGCCTCTCCCTCTCTGCATGGCCTCTCATCAGCCAGTAATCTAGCCTGAGCTCCTTTACGGCACAGTGCAGCCTCCCAAGGGCATAGCATCACTTCCAGCACATTCCACTGGTCAGAGCAAGTCACAGGCCAGCCCAGAATCACCTGGAGGGGAAAACAAACTCAGCTCTTGATGGAGGGACATGATGAACGGAGTGGCAAGAATTGATGGTGACCATCCTTCAAAGTTACCTACCACAATGAATGGATGAAAAGATGAGCAAATAAGTGAGTTATAACCTTCCTTCTGATTCTCACGCTGGTTAAAGAAATGAAGAAACTAAACCCCATACTCCTGATTCTTTTTAGCCTGTCTTTCTTTAAGCAGAGAATAAACTGGTGACAGATTTTTTATGTCTTTGCTGGTCTGTTTAAATTCCAGTATGGCATTAGCTTCACATAAAATGGCTGAGAACTTTTAGCATCTTCCTTTAGTGTCGTTTTAGTTCCTCCTGCCCCCTCCTGCCCTCTTCTCTCATTCAGTTTCTTATTATTCTCTTCTCCCAAATTCAAACCCAGACTACAATCTCTCATTTTGGGGTGAGGAGGCTAGTTCCACTTTGCCCACCTTACAAGACCCAAGGAAATGAGACTCTAAGTAGTAAAATGTCACCAGTCTGGGGCAATTATTTTTCAGAACTGCAACCTTCCTACATGGCCGTTAAGTTTTTATCCCCCTGGCACATCCATGTCCTCCATTTGGAAGGCAAGTTCTGGTCAAATCCAATTATTATGTGGATTGCTGGGCCTTCAGACTCAGTAGTTACTCTCTGGTTTGACTCGAATCCCCTGACCATCCTTTCATGGCTCTGTACCTAAAATATAGTCGAGCTTTTATAAAAAAACTTTTATAAAAGCTTTTATAAAAACCAATAAACCCAAAGGCCCATTCTGACTAACAAGTCAGGTGCACACAATACAAACTGTAACACAGGGGAGTATGGGAGAGCCAAGGCCCTTTCTTTTATATATATTAAAAGAACACAGCCGGGCTTCCCTGGTGGCGCAGTGGTTGAGAGTCCGCCTGCCGATGCAGGGGACACGGGTTCGTGCCCCGGTCCAGGAAGATCCCACATGCCACGGAGTGGCTAGGCCCGTGAGCCATGGCCGCTAAGCCTGCGTGTCCGGAGCCTGTGCTCCGCAACGGGAGAGGCCACAACAGTGAGAGGCCCGCGTACTGCAAAAAAAAAAAAAAGAAACACAGCCTGTCCCAGGAAGCCAGTGACTCAAAATCATTGCAGAAACCAATGCAGAATTCCTTCCATGTATAGGATTTTTCTTCCTTAAAAGGCAGTGTATAAAAGGAACAAACTAGCAATATTTCCTGGAATTTGGAGGCCAGACAATGCCTCAATGTTTCTTTATCATGGGCATTCTGGAGAAAGTCCCTCAGTGCTGGAGGGGAGGAAGAGAACACCCTGGGAGCCATGCTTGCCCACAGCATTTCAGCAGATACTGGAGACTGGCAACACGGATTGTATATATTACTTTGAGGAGAATGTGTGTGTGTGTGTGTGTGTGTACGTGTGTACCCTGGTGCCCATGGCTTTAATAATGACCTCATTCCTTTCTCTTTTAGAAAAGAGAAAAAATACATAATTTGAGAGCTCAAAGAGACATTTGAGACACACCACCTCATTAACAAATGAGTAAACAAAGGCCAGAGAAATAGAGTAACTTGCCTGAGGTCACACAGATGATTGGAACCAGGGCAAGAACACAAGGCAGGTCTCCAGTCTTCTAGCTGGAGAGTTTGTGCATCACTTAAATATAGGTGGACACTTACTAACACATCACTATGTACTTAGGTACAGGGAATTTGATCAAAATGAGCTTAAGTGTGCAGACTCTAGACGATGCTATTCGATACAGTAGCCACCGCACATGTGGCTTCTGAGCACTTGAACTGTGGCTAGAAACACTGAGCAACCAAATTTCAAATTTTATTTAACTTTAATTTATTTAAATGTGAATGCAAAAACCACTACTTGATTCAATAACTGGGAAATTTTAAGTCTATTTGGAACAACTTGAGTATGTGTATCTATATATAAATTTTATGAAATATAAAATACAGATCAAGTATTTCCAGTGAAAATATGGTGACTGAATTGAGATGTACTCTAAGTATAAAAGATATATTAGATTTCAAAGACTTAGTATAAAAAATGTAAAATATATCATTAGTAATTTTTCTGTTGACATGTTGAAATAATCTTCCGGATATATTGGGTTAAATAAAATATATTAATTTCACCTACTTTTTACTTTTTAAATGTAGCTACTAAAAGAGTAAAATTGCATATGTGGCTTGCATTATGTTTCTGTTGGACAATCTAGAGTCAGACTGTCCACACTGAAATTGCTGCTCCACTATATTCCCAGCTCTGTGGCCTTGGGAAGATTATTGGGTAGCTTTGAGAAGCAATTGTCTTCTCTGAAAAATGAAAGAGAGAAAGGCGTGAGGATATCTTTCCCCTTTCTTTTCCTGTTTTTGGCCCTCACTGTGTGATGACATGGTGTTTGGGGCAATGGCAGCCACTTTTAAATGATAGGGAGAAACGTGGCCAATATACAAAGCGCACAACAGCCACTCAAGAAGGGCTAGCTGAGTAAATGACATAAGTAAAATTTCCTGGCATGTGGTTGGGTTTAAGAATCCATCATTCCCTCTCTTGCTTCTTTGCCCCCACATCCCGAACACTCTTTCCCCGTGATCTCTCCTTGTCTGCTCCTGAAAAACACATCTAAGCAGATGTAATCCAGGGCAGACACATGTGTTATTTGCATATGATTTGCCAAAATTTGTGTGTAATTGGCTTCTGTCTACAGAATCTGATCTCTGGCTATTTGATTTTAATGCTGAAATTAAGATATACAGGAGGGTCATTCCCTCTGCCTCCCTCAATCTATCTTTCTACTTTTCCTTCCCAGCTGGCAGCGTTGCCCTGGTAAGTGGGGTGTCAGAGGTCTCTAAGGGGTGAGGAGATGCTAGATGAGAGGGGCAATGGGCCAGGAATGGGACGCTTTGCTTTTATAACACGAGGAGCAGCATGAGTGTAAAGGGTCCCGACCAGGCTAAGGGCAAGGGTATCCTTGTGATGTGGCTGGACTCTGCTGATCTGGGCCTGGAAGTCGGTCCTCCCAAAGCTTTGAGCTGGTGGGACTTTGAGGGTAAGAAGAGATCAGGGCTGAGGGAGGTGGGGTGATACCCTACGGGGAAAACAAGAGCACATAATAGAGACTGGGAATCCAACAGGAATCGGGGCCAGAGGTGAGCAGGAGAAATGTGAATGCCCCAATGCCCAGAGGAGTTTCAGAGACATCAGGGTGTCTATGATAAATAGGGCAGATTTCCAAGGTGATTTTAATAAAACTTAATAAAATCCAAAATGACAAGTTGATGCCTGCACATTTAAGGATTTGGGGAGGGGCAGACTGATCTGTTAGTTACAGCGGGTCTCCCAAACTGTGGATTCCGATCTAGCTGGTGACACCTTCCTCCTAAGCACGGCATCCCACCCATCACTCTCATCCATCCCCTCTGGAGACAGCCAGCCCCTCCCATCTACTTGTCCCCCCAGGTCTACCCAGCATCTTCCATCACCCTCATTCCCTCTGGGACCACCCAGGACCTCCCTTTCCCACCACGGTTGTCTCAGGCTTCATGATCACTGTCCAAGAGTCAGGCAGAGAATCTGGGACAGGGCATGGAGTTTGGACCTGCACATTTAGGCCCACACTGCACGCATGATCTCATGCACAGACGGACACAGTTGCATTTTAGCAAGTCATACTCAGATAGCATGATGTCCTAGGTAGAGTTTGCTATTCTCCGAATAAGAAATACCATGAACTTCACACTTTGCCTCGCCAGCCTGCAAGGTGCCAGACAGATGCTTCCCTGATGCTAAAGATGGTCACCACGAGCCCAAACACTCCTATGCTTAGCTTACATTTTCTGCCTGGCATCTAGAAAATACTTCATGCAAATCAGCCCTCTCAAGGAGGCTGAAGACCCTCAGGTGACATTTTAAAGCAGTTGTGCTCTAAAGTAGCTTTGAATATGAAAAGGAGAAAAAAAACCTCACAAAAAGTATTTTCAGCTCCTGTGGTTAGTTCCCAAATACCAGTACTCTAAAAATTACACAAGAATCACCTTGAGAGGTGTTTAAAAATATGGATGCCAGGTTTTCAGCCCCAGGGATTTTGATTCCACATGTCTTGTGTGAGTCCCAACACCTGTGTTACTAGGATTTTGATATGCAGCCAGGGCTGAAACCCACTGACTTGGACCATCAAAGAAAGGTGATGATCTGTACTTGAGTCTGTTGCCACCCGGGTATCACTTGCAATTGGGCAAGGATCTCTGGAAACAAGGTTCCCAGGTAGGGAAGGGTTGTATCTCCATCCAAACAGTATGCAGATTTGTCAGGAGGCAACAACTTGATCTAAAGTTTCAGTAAAGGGGGTAGCTTAAGCAGGCATACCTAATCGTCCACCTATTTGAGACATAACCATTTATCTTCCTTCCTGTGGGACTTTTGATATAAGGAGAGCTTATCTGCCCACCTCGTCCCCAGCCATTTGGACATTTGAGTTTTCATTAACTGTAATGAGTAAAATTAATAATGAAGCCCGTGGTGCAGGAAAATTTATGTTTCTTGTACACGAACCTTGTCGAAACAGGTACCAGGCGTTCTAAGGAAGACCTAGGATTTATGTCAAATTCCTTATTAAAGTGTAAGAGGAGAAACAAAGTCTGTACGTTTTGTGTTTTGTCTAAAACTGTGAGGCCTCCTCACTGCTGCCTGGGTTGTTACCATGCTCAGATAAGAAGGTTACCCACTCCTGCCGCTGCTCAGCCCACTTTAATTATTTTTACCCTCAGTCCCCAACATCCCTTTAAACCATTCTTCTCTGCCCAGATAGACTGTTACACCTGTCTTTGCAATTCTGGGAGAGACGCTTTGAAGTGCCTTTTCAAAATCTCTTGTTAATGATCTGGTAATTATTGTGGTGACTTTTCAATGAAGTGTGAAGTGCTCAGCTGGCTGTCAGCTAAGAGAATCCCCAAGCACCTGGAAAGAGGGACACGGGAAGGG